AATAATTTGCAAATAATTAATACATTATAACATTAATTAAAAAATAAATTTAAATTATAAATAATAAAATATTTAAGTCATTATATTATTTAAAATTATCTTTAAAGAAATAAAAATTATTTAAACAATATTTAATAATATTGAATTACATTAAAAATATTATTAAAAAAGTCTAAACGCTGAATAAAATAATGAACACTTCGCGTAGTTATATATGACATATATTATATATTTTTCCAAGAGTTATCTTTCTTGTGATTAGTTTCCGTTCACATTTTTCTTTGAATTTGTTATGTATAAAAAAAATTATAATTAGCAACCAAAAGAATAAAAAAAAAGAAATTAAAATAAAAAATAAAAAATCTTGCAAGAAAAAAAATAATTAAGGAGAGTTTTTAGAGAGCAATAATTTCAACAAATAACACCATTTTTAAACTCATAACTAAATAAAAGAAAATAAAATAAAATATATGCAAATAGCGAAATATTAACAAAACTTTTTTCTTAAGCTTCTTGAATTAATTTTTTTTTTAAATGTTACTTTTTATTTCTTTACAAATAATACTTTTCCTTTTTTTTAGGATTTATATACAAATGTATTTATCTGATTTTTAGTTATAAATTAAAATTAAGTTACAAATAAATGGAGACAAATTGAGTCTAAGTATAGATATATTTATTTGTGTTAAACATAAATAAAAAATGATGAGTTTTCTTTTTATCATTTTTTACTAGTGTTAAAAATTACAATGAAATAACAAGATTTGAATTCAGAACTTTGTGCATACTGTTTCGATCCTCAACCTTTAGACCAATCTTAATGATTTATTTTTATTTTATTTTAATATACCTATTATAAATCTTGTGTGGTCAAATAATTTTAATTTTTTTTTTAAATTATAATACATTTAAAAAATATATATAAATACTATTATTTTATTGATATTTGTAAAATTGTACATAGCTTGAGATGTATGAGTTATGAGGCCTCTGACTAAAGGTTCAATTGACCTCAAGGGGAAGTCGTATATAATGTTTCTTCTGAGAATTGAGCCTCAAAAGCTCAATTTCTCAAAAACCTTTGGGAGAGAAAGTAGAGTGAGAAGCCTTGGAGCTATGATACTTCTTCTCTTCTTTGTAGATTCCCAGAAGGTGTGAAAGTCTCTTATTGATCCTCAGGGTGGTGATCTGAAGTTGTTGGAGCTGAGGATTTGGTGTAGGTGCAAAGTTTTCAAAGTTCCTCTCTTCCTCATCCTCATTTCTTCATCTTGGTGGTTGAAAATTAAGGTAAGGGAAGTTAGACTCAATTCTTGGTGAATTGTTGAGTTGTATGTGTCTATAATTGTTTTCAACCTTTGGCTATTTGGCAAAATCTTGAGGTGGGATTTTGGTGTATGTTGAGTTTTTGATGTTTTGAGCTAATGGGAGTGATTTTGGTGAAAGATGCAAATTGACTTGCATGTGTTTTTTTTGTGATGATTTCAAATCTTATATAATGTGTGTCGATTGTTGGATGCAATGCATGCGTTGGATTTTCTATATTTCAAGTCTTGGAGGTAATTTTTGTGATTTGTTGTAGATTTCTGGTGTCATGTCAGACACCTTTGCGTTATCGGTGTAGTTTTGATCTTTGTCTCAATCACGTCAGATGCATGATTGGTGGCATCAGGCGTGAAGAGAGAGACTTGTCTTGAATTAGGATGATTTCAGATGTGAAAGCATGAGAAAGTTAAGTCTCTGACTTGGTGATGTCGGGCCTCAATTGAGTGGCCCTAAGCATGATCAAGACAAAGACTCACTATTTGGAGGATGTTGGATGCCACTAAGATGACATTGAACATAAATCAGGTAGAGACTTTTTACTTGATATGAGGACGAACATGTGTCTTATGACACCAAATGATGAAGTTTTAGGGGGTCTCTACCTTGATCATGCCGGACACGATTTGGAGGGCACTGAGTGTGAGCGAGACAAAGAGTTTCCTGCCTCAATGGCGTGTGAGGTGTTAGATATGTTACGTAAAGCACGAGATGCCTAGATAATGTGTGTGTTTTTAAATGTTGTATGATGACCATTAGTAGATGTATAAGTTTTATTACATGTTTTATAAAGTATGAAGATTGTAGTTCTATGTGTGTTGATTGAATATAACATATATAGATGTTTGTATGGTGTTGGAACCATACTTTTTTAGTGTAAGTAATAAAATTCGAGAAACTAGAGGAATAATTGTTATCCTATTTTGTTATAATCGAGTCGACGTTTCAGGTGCAAAAGCGATTAGCTTTGTTCGGTAGGATAAATGTCTTGTGTGACATGTTTTGGATGAGATATATATTGGGTTTGGGGTGTTTAACTTTCATATATGATTGTGATATGCCATTGTATGATATAAAATTATTTTCTATGCTCACATATTTTTTAACTCTAACTCCCCCTTTTGTTTTATGTGGTGTGAACTACGATGATTATATGTTATATGAGAGAAAATCAAGCCTAGGTTAGATGTATAATTGTTGTTAGAAGGAGAAATCCTTTTATTGGTGTCCATGTTACATTGTATAACTTGTATAAGTATGTTTGGTCAACACTAGGTTATATAATTTATCTTTGGGATTATTATTATATATACATGTATATGATTTATATTAGTATGATGATGATACTTTTATATTCATATTTTAGGTATGTTCATATATTTGTTAGTTAAACTTTTATATTTTACTTTTATAATAATTATCTTAAAAATAAACCAACAAATTTTTTATTATATTTTAATTATTAATATTTTTAAAAATATTGAAATTGAACATAAAACTAAAAATAAATAGATAAATTGAAAAAAAATTATAAAAAATCTAAAGTATTATTATTAAAAGTTAATTAAAAATATTATTGATCGACAATACTTTCTAAAAACACTTCTTTCAAAATAACAGTTATAATTCATATAAAAGAGATTACTATTTTTTAATTATAATATAGTTTATGTATTCAATAATATTTATATATTATCAAATGTCATTACTAAGAATTGTTATTTAACATCCATTTTGGATATTAAAAATTTAAGAATGAAAATATATTATGTGATTTAACATCCATTTTGGATATCAAGAATTTAAGAATGAAAATATATTAGAACAGACTTTAAATATATAAGTTGGATCTATTTTATAAAATTAAAGTCAAAATCTGATTTATAATCTATCATTAGTTTTATTTTTTTTTAAGTTTGACATCATCTTTTTTAAAACTTTATTTGGTCTATTAACTTATTTAAAACTTATTTTACATTAATAATGTTAAATAGACTAATAAGTCAACAAATCTACTTTCAAATATATTTGTGAGTCTTTTTCTGTTTTTTTTTTTTTTATGATAAAAAATAATTTACTAATGCACACTTATACACATGTGTAAATGAAAGAAAATAATCTTATAATTTTTTAAGTATTTTTCTATATCTTATTTAAAATATTTTAAATAAACAATCATATAAATGATAGAAAAGAGAAGAAGAAAATGTAGACCGCTAAATTTTATATTTTTTAATTTTATATGTATAAAGAATGTAAAACATTTAATCAAGTTGGCAAAAGTGTTAAAAGAATATTAATAATTTGATTTTTTTAATACAAAATACTTTCTAAATATTCTTTATATTCTAATAAAATATTTTAAATAAACAACTATGAAGATAAAAAAAAAAAGATAGACAAAGATACAATCACTAAATTTATATTTCTTGATTTTATATGAATAAAAAATATAAAATGTTTAATCAAGTTATTAGAAATGTTAAAAATATTAATAATTTTTTATTTTTATATTATAAATTTATTTATTTAATTATATTGTTAATAATGTAATATAAATATTATTTTTTTATTATCTCATATAGCTAACTTGGTTGACCAATCAGTTCAACAAACTTTTTTATAAGCTTAAACTCAATCTTTTTAAATAAATAGATTTTTTTTAAAAGTTTTAACCCGGCCTTTTTATTAAATAGGTTAAGTCAAACAAGATTTTAAACAAGTCAGACCATAGACCCTTATTTAAAGTTTGATTTATTCTCATCCCTAATAGGGATAACTACAATTAAGGCGATTTTCCAACAATGTCATTACATGTTTGAAGGAACATATTGTTTTGAATTTTATTATTTTAAATTTATTCATTTTTCATGTTGAATTCATTTTGACTATATATATATATATATATATATATTTATTATATTATCTATACCAATATATAAAGAAGATATTCCTTTTAGTAACCACCTTGATCTTAAATGTTGACTATTATATTTTTTCATTTTAAAAAATTTTAAAAATAATATTTTTTTATCAAAATCAAGACTCTAAAATTAATTAACTAATTATAATATTAGATTAACATATATTTATTACTTAATTTTTATTTTATTTTATCTTTAATAGAAATATGAAGTACCTCGACCTTACTAGTATAAATAAATGGATAAATTTATTAAATTTAACAGACTATTTTATAAATTTAAATAATTTTTTATAAAAAAAAAACTTAAATCCAACTTTTTAATAGATCAAATAACACCAAACTTTAAATATATTATATTAGACTTTTATTTAATGCTTAACCCATTATCATATCTAGGAGTAACTATAGAAGATATAAAAACAACCCTAAAAGAATTATATCTCTTGATTAAAAATAATATTTATTTATTATATATTTTATACTGCATTTGGCACATTCAAAATTACTACTCTACTAATTAAACTCTTATACCTAATGTAGTAATTAAAAATTAAAAATATAAATTTGATACAGTAACAATGTGACTTATCAAGAACAGAAAATATTGGTAATATATAAACTTATGGGGTGGATTGACGTATGTTTAGGTATCATTAATTGTTGTCTCATAAATGAATTTGCTATCTTGGAAAGCGTAAAGAGCACAATGAAAACTGGGACAGCCACCCTTCTATTTAATTCATCAATCATTTTAATTTAAAAATCATAGTCTATTAGTGAGATAAAAAGTTATGTTCATTTGAGAGAGAGAAGATAAACTGTTTGACAGCGTTTGAAATACTGGACAAGACGTGTTGTTAGAGAGAGATTATGGGAGAAAGAGGTTAGTTGTTTTTGGTTGAACTTGTTGGAAGCAACAACAACAAACAACTTTGAAATTCCAACACCCTAAGAGAAGAAACACCTTTGAAAAAATTAATAAAAACTTTTTAGAGAGAGAAACATAAGAGACGTGAACCAAAGACTTTTTTTTCTTTTCATTTTGCTTCTTCCTTCCTTCGTTATCCAATTACCAATTTCAATCTCTTTCTTTCTCTCTCTTCTCCTGTTTTTCTCTCTCTAACTTTCTCTCTCCTCAGATCTCTTCCCTGTTTCTCACCCTTTTCCTTAATCCTCTCGCCTCAATCATGTTTAACAATTTTAATCCGTGAAGTTTCGTTCTTTTTCATTTTTTGTTTTAATTTGTGTAGTTAGTGGAATAGTTTATTATTTCATTTGTTGATAGACAATATAACAAAAAAAAAATTGATTTTGTGTTGAGGAAAAATCCCAGTTTTTTTTTTTGTCTTCTTTGTCTTTTGTGGTGTTTTGGAATAAAACCTGAAAAAAAGGAAAAAAAATTGTTTTGTGGGTGGTTGTGATCGAAAATTTTAAGGTTTGTGTGTGAGATTGTGGATGGTGTAAAAGGGCGAAAAAGTTGAGGTGGTTGTGGATTGAAAGAGGAGGGAAGTTGGGGATTATGATTGAGGCTGAATTTGAGGAATCGCTGATTATTGTGTTGTGGGTTGGTGCTATTTTGGTGTGTTTGGTGATGGGGATGAGGAATGATGCACAGAAGCAACAGGTTCTTCACCAGGGTAATAATGGTGGTGGCAGAACCAACGGTTTCATTCCTAGTTCTTTTCGGGCTCTCTCTAGCTACCTTAGAATTGTTTCATCTGGTGCTTCCACCGTTGCACGCTCTGCTGCATCCGTTGCTTCATCGATTGTGGAGAGGGATGATGATCCTGATCATGATCAGGTATGTGCAATTTTTTTTTGTTTGGAGATTTAAGAATAGTTACCTGTTTGGTCATCACGGTGAACTTGTGATTGGTGTGGATTTAAATTTTGAAGATGGTTTGTTTGTATTTATAGGGTATTTATTTTTGGTTGAACTATGATTCTTTAATTAAATCTTTGGTTTTGTGATGGAGATAAAATCTGGATTATGTATCTGAACGGTTTAGGTTTCTTCTAATTTTAGAGGATTGGTTTAGGCTTCTTGATTGTTTAATTAATTAACTCCTCGGGTTTGTGGTAGAGATAAAATAATGAATTAATGATTATGTATCTGAATGGTTTAGGTTTTTTTTCTAATTTTAGAGAATCAGATTTACGCATCCAAACTAGTGTAGTTGCTGACTTGCTGTTAGTTCATACTCAGAAATTAAGGCACAGTATAACATTCTTGAATTTGTTATTCACAAGTTTTAATCTAATGAGACATTTTTTTTTTAAATTTTCAAGGTAATATTTATATTGTATTCAATGTGTGATTTGGAGATAAGAATGTCACTGCTTGGCCATGTTAGCCAACTGAGAGCACTTGGTGGGTGAAATTAGGGGCTGCTGCCTGTTTGTGAAGAATTTCTTGTGCATGCTTGTCTTGTTTATTATGCAAGGATGCTTTGTAGGATGGAATGTTTTGAAAATGCTAACATTTAGAGGATCTATTTTTCTGGCCTTTGAAATTAGTATACCTACAGGCATGGGTGCATAACCCTTAGGTTAGTAGTTATGGCTTGGTAAACCATTCCTCTCATTGAACACCTGATATTGTGCATAAAGTTTGCCTGTGGTAATAGTCTTCATTGATTGCGATCATCCACTGTCGGGTAAAGTAGTGTAATGTTTTCTTGCAATTGGGTTTTGCAGGTGTCTTGACACTTTTAATATCAGACAATTTGGTGGCATGTGTTGTTTTTTTAGGTTTCTAGCGTATGATTTTGCTAATCTCTTTCCCATAAGTCTAGCTCTCTTTGATAGTTTGTTTTTATAGGAGCTTTTGGTTTTTGATTAAGGTTTTATTCATTCTTGTTTAGAAATGTGAGCAATATTTGGTTTTGAGCATCCTGTGTAGTAAGGAACGATGACATTTGTTGGATATGAGCAGGAAAATGGCACATGGCATAATGTTATGGATTAAATATTGGTCAAAATGTTATTATAATTTATATTTATATTTTTCGTCTTCTGAGCTGTAATCAAGGTGTCATTTTATTGGATTGAGTGTTGGATTGCTAGCATATTTTGTTGAACCTAGATCTGGTATGGCCACTCCAGAGTCCAGACTATAAGTGTTTACACGGTTTGAAATGTTTTATGGGTCACCTATTGTTTGTACACTTTTTTTTTTCGCCTTGTCATGGATATCCCTATTAATTTTCATTAATTTAATTTTTTGAATTGAGCTCTTGCCTCATTCAATATTTTGAAAGTTTAATTAAGCATGTGCTTGTTAGGTAGTTAGTCAAAGAGGTATTGGAAGTTATGAAAACATATACTTTTTATTTTATTTTAATGGCAAAACATTTTTGTATGATTAGGAATTCATCTGAACAATAACGGATAAATGGAGCATGTGTGAATTTGATGGATACATTTAATTGATGTGAAGCTAAAAGTTGAATGTCATAACACAACCATTTGGAAGGCTAGAATGGTGGAATGCTTTTTATATTTCTCTTTCATTATAATGGAAAACAATAGACATTTTTGTACATGACAAAGTGATGAAATCTCTTTTTTTGGTGTGTGCGTGTGAACTTATAAATTATAGGTCCTTGGAAATCAAATTCACTGTGCTTTTGGAGTAAATGAAGTTATTTGATGAATTTGCATATCAATGTGAGTTGTTGAAAGGGGACTGTAAATTTGAATAGTTTGAGTGCGTGTCAGTGAATTGCTTTTCATTACTTACATCAACATCAAGTTCTTGACTTAATATTTTCCTCATGTGAGATTTCTCGTTGCTTCCTTTCTTAATGAATAATAGATATTTTATTCTATATGCATTTTTCTTTAAATTTCGTATAGAATTGATGTCTCACTTTAATTTTAAATTTATATAGGTTATCTGGGCTGGGTTTGACAAGTTAGAGGGTGAGGGTGAAGTTATTCAGCAAGTACTTCTTCTAGGCTATCGATCTGGCTTCCAGGTTTGGCATGTGGATGAATCAAATAATGTCCGAGACATAGTGTCCAGACATGATGGTCCTGTTTCTTTTATGCAAATGGTACCTAATCCAATCGCATCAAAGAAATCAGAAGACAAGTATGCAAACAGCCGCCAGCTGTTGGTAGTTTGTACGGATGGGTTCTTTGCTGGAGGTAGCACTGTTCAGGATGGGTTGACCACTCCTTACAATGGAAGCGCTTCAAACTCGCACGACCAAATGAATGGAAACTATTTGCCAACTACTGTTCAGTTTTATTCTATGAAATCTCAATCATATGTTCATGTTCTGAAGTTTAGAACAGTTGTTTATTCTGTGAGGTGTAGTCCTCGAATAGTTGCTGTTGCTCAATCCGCTCAAGTATATTTTCTAACATCTGTACCAATAAACCACCTTTTATGCGTGCTTTTGTTGGATTGTCTAATGAAGTCTTTTTTTTGCAGATCCACTGTTTTGATGCTACCACATTAGAAAGGGAATATACCTTACTTACCAATCCTATAGTCATGAGTTGCCCTGGTTCTGGAGGCATAGGTTATGGACCACTTGCGGTTGGTCCAAGATGGCTGGCCTATAGTGGATGTCCTGTTGCAATTTCCAATTCAGGACATGTTACTCCACAGCATCTGACACCTTCTGCAAGCTTTCCTGGTTTTTCTTCTAATGGGAGCTTAATTGCACATTATGCCAAAGAGTCTAGCAAGCATCTTGCTTCTGGGATTGTGACCCTTGGAGATATGGGGTATAAGAAACTTTCAAGATACTGCTCTGATAACAATGGTTCATTACAATCAGCAAATGCAGGCTCTAAGGGCAATGGAACCATTAATGGCCATTCAACAGATGCAGATAACATTGGAATGGTGAACCGCTGTTCTTGATTTTGTGTTTTCTTATAATATATATTGCACTTGAATAACTTTTCTTTTTGGGTTAAATAGATATGAATATGAGAAAGGAGTTTGTGTTAGGTTATACTTGGATGGTTGAGATGGTACTTTATATTATATTTTCACCTGAATTGTATCCATCTGTGTAATTTTGTTTTTTATAGAGTAATGTCTTTTTATACAAATAAGTTTTTGTAACTAATTTGAGGCTTATTTTTGTTTTATCTCAGGTTGTGATTATCATAATTGTTTCATTCTATGATTATAAATAGGATAACTTTGTTATTGTTCTCTTTCAGGTTATTGTTAAAGATATTGTCTCAAAAAACGTTATTGCCCAATTCCGGGCCCACAAGAGTCCTATTTCAGCATTATGCTTTGATCCTAGTGGCACCATATTAGTGACAGCTTCCATTCAGGGTCATAATATAAATGTTTTTAAGATTATGCCTGCACGTGAGAATTTGTCAGCTTCTGATACTGGGTCTTCTTATATTCAATTGTACAGGCTGCAACGTGGCTTTACAAATGCAGTGAGTGCATGTTCATATTATCACTTGTCCTTTGGTTTAAAACATAATCATTGTCTTTTTTACAATGCATCTATAAGTAACATGCATCTCTCTATAAATCCGTTTTTGACTTTCCAGGTTATACAAGATATCAGTTTCAGTGATGACAGCAAGTGGATTATGATTAGTTCCTCAAGGGGCACTAGCCATCTATTTGCCATAAATCCTCAAGGAGGACACGTAAATATTCAGTCCTTTGATGATAATTTTATAGCAAAAAATGGTGGATTAGGCACTAACGCTAATCACGCACTTGGCCAGTCTCATAGTTCAGCCATGCAAATGCCTAAACAGCAGAGCCTGTTCGTGGCTGGTCCTCCCATCACACTTTCTGTTGTAAGCCGAATTAGGAATGGAGCTAATGGCTGGAGAGGCACCGTAAGTGGTGCTGCTGCAGCTGCTACTGGCAGGAAAACTGCCCTTTCTGGTGCTGTTGCTTCATCTTTCCGTAACTATAAACGTACTGAAGGGAATTATTCGAAGGCTAAGTATAACTTGTTGGTCTTTTCGCCCACTGGTTCCATGATACAATATGCTCTGCGGGCGTTAACCAGTCAAGATTCTGCTGTTGTTTCTGGAATGAGCCCTGCTTATGAATCCATTCCGCAGGATGATGCAAGACTAGTGGTTGAGGCTATCCATAAATGGAATATATGCCAGAGTCATAGTCGGCGTGAGCGGGATGATAATGTGGACATATATGGTGAGAATGGAATTTCAGACACTAAGAAAATATATCCAGAGGATGTGGGGGAGGAGAATGGCATTGGACCGAAAATCAAGAATGCAGTCATGAAAGTGAGTCCCTCTCTTGAGGAGCAGCATCATTTGTATATCTCAGAAGCTGAATTGCAAATGCATCAAGTTCAGACTCCATTGTGGGCGAAGCCAGAGGTATATAGTTTTAGCTTAGAAAACTACGCTTTTAGTTTCTTATGATATTCTCTTTAGTTTGATATTTACATGCATTGTTCTTTTGCCAACCAGATATATTTTCATGCAATGTTACAAGAGTCTACCTTGAAGGATGATGAAGCTTCTTCAGGAGGTGAATTTGAGATTGAAAGGATTCCAACTTGCATGATTGAAGCTAGACCAAAAAGCTTGGTTCCCATTTTTGACTATATGCAGACCACAAAATTACAGCAAACAAGGTTTGATGACAGTTTAATTGAATAGTTTTATGTTAGACATGCTAAAAGACTGGGTATTTTATATTGTGTTTGATGATGAAATGATTTCTGTGGCTTCTTTTCTGCTATATAGTCTTGAATTTGCCCTTTATATGCATGGATGTTTCTATTTTATGAAGTTGAAAAATTATGAATGTGTTACAGGATTCCTGCTATGGATGGCAAGGCAAGTGAACAACTGATGCATCGCAGTTTCCGGCCTGCCGAAAACAGCAAGATTTCACCCAGGAATATTTTGGGATCTCCTGAGTGTGTGACTAATGCTGATGATGCTGCCACTGAATTTAAAAGTGGGATTGAAGGAACTGAGTGGGATAATCATGTGGTAACATCTGAAACCATGGCCTTTGTAAATAACAATGAAACCCTTTATCCAAATATTCAGCATGAGATTGTAAATAATAGAAGGGAGCACTTAAACACCGGGGCTCATCTCATGTTTGTAAATAGTGACAGAAAGCCTGAAAATGAAGAATCATTTTGAAGAAATTGGAGATGAATTTGATTGAAGGTAATTAATTATTTGTTTCTAATTTATAAATTGTAAAGTGTTTAGTTTCTTGGAGTATTTTTCTAAAACTCATCAATTATCTCTAGTTCTTGTTTTATCATAATGCTTATAGGAACAACCATAAAAGAGAACAAAAACCAAGGACATACATTAAAATAATAATGAAAAGACAACAAAGTTTTTACTGATATTATTATTATAGGCATTGTGCTTGTTCAAGAATGTATTATCAATCATATTATTGGAACCACTGGATATTATATTTTACTCATTAATATTCATGTATACACATCAGTGACTGGCATGTTATTTGTACTTTTATTTTACTTATTAATTCAGGCATGGAAATATTCTTTCATTTCGCACTGGAGGCTTAATTAACATTGTTAATATAATATGGTTGGAGAGGTAGAGAAGCTCGAGGACTACGATGCAAAATTGTGGATACTACAATGGCTTTCTTTTTCTGTCGACACATGTATATCATCAATAATCAGTTTTAATGTGTAAATACTAGAATCACTATCTTCCCCTCTTCTTTTTATTCTATTAATTAAATTAATTTCCCTATCATCTTGTGTTGTTATTTGGATTGGATGAAGTAGTTTTTAGGAAGAAAAACAGGTCTGGTAAAAGGTTTAGTAGAATAGAAGGCAATAAATCATTAAAAGTTCAATATTTTATTCAACATTGTTAGATATACACTGACTGCAATTTCTGCAGGGTTAAAATATCCAACTATTTTAGTGTTATTATAACAATGAAATGAAGGCAAAGTTCTGTCTTATTCTTTATATTAAAATGGAATATGTATAGTTAAAATACCTGTCAGTGTTCCTCCGCTCCATTCACCAGATTTTATGTATCTAGTAAATTGAATGATACTCAATAAGATAAATTTAGTAACATTTTTTTTCTGGTAAAGATCGGAAAGATTACAGAGATTGTAGCTAGGATTGAATCTAGGTTCTCATGTTTCTAACTATTCCAACTTTTTCCTACTCAACCACTAGGCTAACCTTGGTGATTTTACCCTAGTGATTTTAAATACTCAATATGATTTTAAATACTTTATTTTATTTATTTGTTGAAATTCATTAAAAAAAAGAAGATTGTGGTCATATTTAATTAATAAAATTCATGGATAATTATTTTTTTTAATAGATTTTATAAAATAAGTGTTATGAAAATATGTTCGAAAAAAATACTACATTCATCTTACTACTATCTTTTTATTTAGTTAATTAGTTTATAGCATTAATTTTATTTATAATTTTGTATTTATTTAAAAAAATATTTATATTATTAGAATTCTTCTTATTTTTTGCATGTAATAACTTTTTAAGCAACTAATTAGTGTATGAAGAGAGAATAATAATTATTTTTTTGTCTTATTTTATATTTCAAAGATTACTTTTGGAGTATCTATCAATTTTTCTTAACTTAATATCAATAAAATCACGAATATGGATACTTGATAAGGTAATGATTGATTGGGTTACGCAAAATACGAGATGTGATGTGACCAATTCAAAGTAGCTTATGGAGGAATATGCAAAAAGAAAAATAAAAGACAGAATAATAAGAGTTGTCTTAAAAATATTGGTTAAAGAATTGAAAATTAAAAGTTTTATGTACAAATGTTATTAAAATATTCTTATTTGGATTTTTAATAATTTTTATTTATTATTTTTAATTAATATCTGTAAAGAACCCATTAATAGATTAAGAACATAAAATATAAATACAGCATAAATTTCGACTGAAGTGCTGGGTTACATCAACATCCATTATGTTTTGTTGCATAAAAAGTAGAGATGAAATTAATACTTTTAAAAAATGAAAATAAAAAATAACTATTTTTCGCTTTGTTTAATATTCTCACTTTTCAGTTTGCAGCACAAGTCTGTGATGAATAGTATTTTCGATTCAAGAAATTAATCAAGGGAAGAGTTGCAGAAAGATCTCAACTTTATTTTACTAATCAATTAAATACCTTAAATTCAAAATTTATTAATTAAATACCTCTAGTTTTGTTCAGGTGACTAATTAAACTCCTCATTTTTTAAAAAAATAAATAACCAATAAAAATAGGTCAGATATGTAAGGTATTTTGTACATATGGTGTTCATGTCAAGTTGATTTTTTTAAAAAAAGTCTAGCAATAAAGTATTTTAACTTTTTTTCATGAATATAATCTACACAATATTTTGAAATTGATAATAAAAGATTAATATAAATTCACTTCAAGTCAACTTTTTCGTATTTAAGGATATTTTTTTACAACTATAGATGAAGAAGTTTGGTTAAGAAAAATATTATTGATGATAAAATAAAATTTCATTTCCTTAATTTATCATGAAAATTTAGGAACCTCATATAATGCTTAGCTATAAATTAAACTCTTGTCGGAATGAAAATGTGGTCTTTTCAATTACGTGCAAGACAGTAATTACCATTGTTTGTCATGGACATGGTACAATGTCGGGACCATGAAATTAATAAAGTATTTTAATTTATAATATATATGAAATATTATTTTTTATGTATTAAAAAAAATTACACACATTCTAATAATATGATGTGTTCAAGTTTGATTTTTATCTATATTAAAATAATATGAATGTAAATTATTCATTAGTTATAATTTTAAGATATTATATAAATCATGTTTATCTATTAAAAAACAACATTCAAACAACAGTTTAAAGTTCAAATTAAATATAAATTTTTTTAAAATAAAGATACTCTCAATAATTTTAATTGCATAGTATTTAGAAACTCACCCCAGTACACATGTATAATGTAAAAAGTAAAAACAACATCAAATTGAGTGAAATACGTGTTAGTCCTCAAATTTATAATGAAGAAGAAACAAACACACTATAAATGAGGTAAATATTCTTTCCATTTATCTTCCTTTCTAATTTATTTTTTTATTAAGAAAATAAATAAAACATGGTCAATACATATATTTCAGAGGATATTATTTATTTATTCAAAATTATAATAGTAAAAAATAAAGATAATTTTTTTAAAAAAATCTAAACTTAAATATGTTTTTAATCTCTCAAATTTAGAGGAATTTTTTTTTTGTTTCTCAACTTTAAAATTGTTGTTTTTAGTTCATATAATTTTAAAAAATATTACCTTTGATTCCTCGTTTCACCAATAATATAGATGAAAATAATAAATTAAAATAGTTATATAAAATTAAATTAAGTTTGATGTGATATTTTTACTAACAGAAACATCAATAGATAAAATTTATACGATAATATTTGACTGATTTTTTAACAAAATTTAAATATAAGAATTAAAATAAAATTATTTAAAATTACAAACATTAAAAAGATCAATTTTAAATTTAAAAAATTATTTAAACCTTAAATCTATATGAGTTGCAACCGTTATTTTGTGACGTAAGTTTCCAATGAATCTATTGTTTGGCATGTATTTAATAGCCGTCTTAATATTTATTTTACCACACATTATAATTAATTCTTTATAGTGTATAAGATTTACACTTGAGATCAATTTCTTCACGTATTTAATTAATTACATTTAACCATTCAAAATTAATTATGTTAAAATCAGCTTTAGTTAACTTCAAAACAAAGTAGATGTTAGACAACAATTTTGAATCTTCAGAGGATATATTTTTTAAAGAAAAATTCTTTCAGAAAATTGATAAATATAAGTGATTTTTTTAAAAATAAAATAAAATAAACAGACACTAAATTGGTCCATGCTTGAAACTCTAGATTTGGTATTTCTTCCTATGGAAGTGATTCTCCTGCAGGGATCATCCCAAGTAGTGGTTGGTCCCTCTTGAACTTTTCTTTCATGCTACAACATAACTTGTTCTTAATGCAACACTCAATATATGGTTTTAAAATAATGAGTGGAGGTGAATTATATAATTATTTCCTTCTAGTTATAAAAATAATGAGTTCATCAACTCAATTTTGTTGTTAAGTCCTTTATTACAGAAAAATAGTTAAACTAATTCTAGTAATATAAATACACGTTAACACTCAGATAACTGTGTTTTATATTTTTTTTTTTCTCAAATTGTTGGGGGTGAGAAGGAATTTGAACACAGACTCTGAGTTCATGTTTCAGGTTGAAGAGATCATGGGAAACCAAATCTAAAAATCTTGTCTTAAAATAAACCTTCAAAATTTATATATAGTTCTTTAAATATTTTTACTGTTATTTTCTAGTTAAAACTATAGTTTTTCCTCAATAACTTGTATCGATGTTTAATTTATCCTTTATCATATCGAAATTTTATCGTTTTTTTAGTGGTCATTTTGTATTTGTCAACTAAAAGGTAGCTTGGGGTGACGAGGAGGGCAGGCCAATTTTTAAGTGGTCCGGACAAAGTGAAAAAATAATCACCTAATAAATATTAAAATATTACTAATAATTTTAATTTTTAAACTTCAAAGCATTAAATATATAAATAATTAAATACACAATTGATAATAAAAAAAATTTAAGTATGGTATATTAGTACGAAATTATGAGTTATTATTAGAATTATTATATATACAACAAAAAAATGAATTTATAACAGTGACACATCACGAAGAAACTCACGATAGAGAGATGGGCGTGTTTACAATTTAATTTTGAGATTTCAGTAAAATAAGATATGTTATGATCTAAAAATAAAAAGAAAATAAAAAAATGGGGTTTTGGGGTTTAGGGTTTGCTTTCGAGTTGTATGGAGCCTATGCATTGTGTTTCTTGGTTTGCATGTGGATGAATTTGCTGATTTTTAGGTGTTGAAGGAAATTTTCGAAGTTTTGGAGGCTGCTGTTTGAATTTGCGCTGAGCGCAGTTCTTGGCGCCAGACGTGTGTTCATCAGAGGCAACTATTTCAAATTCACGCCGGGTGCAAGGTTAGTCGCGTCGGGCACGAATTGAGATGGAAGTCTCTAGATGATTCACACTGGACATGAGGAGAACCACGCCGGGTGTGATATCAGATAGTGGACCTATTTGTTATTTTACTGATGTGGCGATGGGTGTAGGGTGAGCGCGCCGGGCGTGGAGACCTTTGAAGGTCCTTGTTTGGATGGCGTCAGGCGCATGGTGGGTGCGCTGGGCGTGGAGACTCCTCTAAGTCTCTGTTTCAAGGACTCCGGGCGTGGATGAGTTTTAGGACTCTTAGGTTGGGATTAGGCCGGGCACGCTTAGGCTACGCCAGGCGTGAACATGTTTATGAATGATTGATTTGAAATGATGCTTATGCATGTTTAAAGTGGTAAAATTGATCATGTATGTATGATATATGATGTATGGTGGTGTATGATTCATATGTATGCTTGATAATGATATGTATGAATGTTTAAATATGATATGACATGTGTATATGTTCATATGAGAATGATGTTGATTATGATAGTGGATTGTCACTAGTCACAAAATCAAGTCATCTTTAATCCTTGTATGTGTTGTTAAATTTTTCCTAATACACACACATATATATATATATATAATTAGTACTTTTTCTCGCTTTTTTGTAAGAATTAAATTGTAATGTAAAATATATTATCACT